CCACAGAGCATTACATAGGAGGAAACAGTGTCAACAGTGACAAATAAGGGTTTTATGAAAATTATTTAGTATTCTGACATGTCTTTCAGTGATTCAAAGTGAAAAAAGTGCAGCTTCTCAGACGTACAAAAGCAGAACAATAAAAAACGGTAACAAAGAGAATAAAGTTTTCCTGAGAAAGTGTCTCTTGTAACTCCCACAAGTCACTGGGCAGGTGAAAATACACCAAAAACTTTGTTTAGCACAGTTTCTAAAATAAACAAGTCCATCATAAGAAGTTAAACAGTCCTAATTGTCTGTGAAACATTTAATTGGGTGTAGCAGCAGTCATGGTTCTGTTTGAGCTGAAGCTCGGACCTGTGGGGGCGTCACAGATCAGCTTCCACACATCAGGAAAAATAAACTACCGGTAATCTTAGATGCTTGTCGGGACGACATACAGATAATAAAACTTTTTTAAAATTTTTTTTAAAGGTGACAAATAGGACGTAGAATTGGTAAATAGACTGTACTTATATATCAAGATACTCAAAGCTCTTTATACTACAATCTGTCCTCATTTACCCATTCATACAGCTCTATACTAGATCTATAATCAGTGCCTTATCACATTCATACACTGATGGGACACACATCAGAGGCAATGAGGGGTTCAGTGTCTTGCCCAGGAACACGTGACTGCTGGTGGAATCAAACCCCCAACTCTCCAATTGGAGGACAACTGCTCTAACCACTCAGCAGATGTGAGCTTGACCCGGAGTGGCTGACCTCAGCTGGAGGGATGAAAAGATTACACAGCATTCTGCCTACAGGTGGTAAAAATATCAAATTGAGTTTAATTACAGTGGACAAGAGGAAGTTTAGGGACATACAAAGAAGCAAACAGGCATAACAAATAAATAAGTTTTCTTCCCCCCACTTTAAATCATATTTAGTGTTCACATATCAAACAGAAAGTTTGATAAGCTCCAAAAACTGTGTACTCTATTGGGTTAAGAAAATGTTAAAAATAATCTAAATAAAAATACAAGAAAAAGTATTGTTGGTGCCTGATTACTCATTGATTGTTGTTGTTGTTAAGCACTTTGATAACAGGTTCTGTTTTAAATGTGCTCTATAAATAAAGTTGACTTGATTATTAATCATAAACTCTGCCATACACAATAAAAAAAGTACCTCAACACGTTCACAGGCTCTGGACTTTAAAAGATAAGGCATGGCCACTTGAAGGAGAACATGGTACATGTTTACCCACTTCTTCCGTGTCACTGGTGCCCATATCACTGAGAGAGAGGCGGTGGACACCCAGGACAGGTCCAGTCCATCACAGGGACACACAGAGACAACCAGGCACTCTCTCACTCACACTTAGGGACAGTTTAGTTACAGATCAGCCTAACAGCCCTTCAAAGTAATATAATGTACCTTTGATTGATAGCTAAAATCAGCTAAATGATAGCTAAAATTAGCTCAATGATAGCTAAAGGCAGCAAAATGATAGCTAAGAGTTTTTTTTTAAGAGAGCTAAGAGTTTTGTACCTTTATGTCTTGCACAAGCCCCTCGTCTCCCCCCACTGCAGCCGTTTGCACTGGAAGTTTTTTGGAACACAGCTGCTACGACTCGGACAGGTCGTCAAGCTGCTGCAGGTTTTTCTGAACCAACCATAGATTTGATCTTTGCTGTAGTGTTCAGGTCGTATCTTCTCGCTTCGTTTTTGTCGAGGAGCTAAAACGCAGTTAAAGAAAAACGTGCACCTGCTTCTAGTTGACAGCTGTGATCACATGTGGCGGACATATTACTCATTTTACTCACATACAACGCTCGACACCTTTCTAAAACTGTTCAGTGAAACCTGTGTTTGCAGCTAAAATTAGTCTGCTCTCTGATGTGATGGTGGACAACACCCAAACATAAACACTGGTGGAAGTGCTGTTTGCTGTTTGTGATGAAATAAAAGGAAATTAAATAAATTAGAGAAATTGCATTTCCTGTGAAAATGCGTGTGAATACTTATTGCAGAAGAACTTGCTGAAAAACAGCTGAAATTAGCTAAAAACATGCTGAAATGGAGCTTAAATGGAAGAAAAAGCTAAAAATAGCAAAAGAAACTGGAAAGAACACATTTTCCTTAATTAGATATAAATTAGCAGAAATGAGGACAAAAATTAGTAAATTAGCTAAAAATAGCTGCAATTAGCAAATAGCTGAAAAGTAGCTGAAAAGGCAGAAAGAAGCTTAAACTACCAAAAGGAAGCTGAAAGAGCTGAAATAAGCTTAAAAAAAGTAGAATTAGCTGAAAAGGCTAAAATAAGAATAAAAACATCTAAATAGTAGCTGAAATAGCAGAAAAAAAGCTTAAACTAGCAGAAAAAAGGTAAAGCTGAAATGACCATAAAGAAGTTAATTTGGTTGAAAGTAGAAAAAAAATTACCATGAAAAACTTGAATTTATCAAAAAACAGCTGAAATTACTTTTTTTTTTTTAATCTAAAACGGTAGCTGAAAATGTAGAACAAGCTTAAGTTAGAAGAAGAAAGCAGAAAGAATGTGTTTGCCTAATTAGGCTGAAAAAAGAACTGAGCACAAAAATACAGAAATGATCTTAAAAAATCTGAAATGAGCATAAAACAGCTAAATAGTAACTGAAATAGCAGAAAAGGCTGAAACTTGCAGAAATCAGCTGAAAGGTGCATAACAAGCTGAAATTAGAAGAAAGACATTAGAAGAAGCACAAAAATGTTGTAGTTAGCTGAAAGAACGAGAAAGGAGCACAAAACAGCTGAAAAACAGCTGAAAGTAGCTGAAAAAATGTTTAAATTTGCACAAGCTGAAAGAAGCTGAAGCAGAAGGAGCAGTAAAAGGCTGTAAACAAATCTAAACATTTGAAGGATGGCAAATGAGTTCAATTAATTTCCTTTGAGGAAAAAAGTGGCAGAAAAGGCAAAATATTTCAAAAAGCTAAAGTTGCACCGATACCAAAAGTAATAGCAGGATTGTCCTGAAAAGAACGTTTTGATTTATGATTTGTTGAAATGTCTTGAAAACTGCGGGAAGAGAATCACGCTGAACAACGTACAGAAGAAAAATGGATCCCAGCAGAGTGAATGCTTCATGAACGTTCACACAATGAGGTCTGACGGTAGTTTCTGCTGACAATGACAACAGTTCAGTAAAATCAAGTTTACGGATGAAACAGATGCTTAATCGTTCAGAAGGAGCCGAGTGTGGGATCACAAGGGTTTTCACTCCAGCATCAAATACAGTAAATTCTAAACCCAGTCTGTTCTGCCTGGCTGTAAGAGCAGCTCACTTTAGTCGTGCGTGAAACACGATGATGTGGATTTCATCCCAGCCGTATGGAACTCTTCACAGGAAGCTCCTCCCCTCGTCTTCCTCTGGTTTCCTGAGGACCAACCTGAGGGAGCCACAGCGCCTCAGCTGGTCAGCTTCTCTGAATGACTCTTCAGCTTGTGGAACTTCACGCTGTCCAGCTTCTCGAACCTCTTGCTGCAGAACTCACAGGTGTAGTTGTAGTGAGCCTCTGGAGTGTGCTTCTTCATGTGCCAGTTCAGGGAGGCTCGCTGCCGACACTGGTAACCACAAATCTCACATCTGACAGGAAGAGATGGTGGGAGGAAACCATGAGTAGAACGGAAGAGCAGTGAGCTGAGGCATATTATTAACTAGCTTCACAAACTAATAACTACACTAGTTTTACAATGCCCAGTTAGGATATTAATGTGACAAATACACATATACACACACAAGAAGTGTGTTTTGCCTCATCATGGGTTTTATTAATATAAAACACTCGTGTATTTCAGGCCTGCACACAACATAAAAACTTGGGATGGTAAATAATTTACTCCTTGCAGCAAACATTATTTACTCACTGGCACCTTTTGATCAAACCTGGATCATCATCAGACACCCCCCCCCCCCCCCCCCCCCCCCCCCCCAAAAAAGTACTTCTATTCTGTAGTTGAAGACACCGATTCCCAGCCAGGAGGTTTTATCAATTCAAAAAATGTCTGACATTTTTTACCTAGACATAATAAAAGGTGATTATCAAAAACTGAGTTTCCACATCAAGATCCAAGATGGCCGCCTATAAATAAATATATATATATGTATGTATATATATGTATGTATATATATATATATATATATACATATATATATATATATATATATATATATTCAGTACAGTTGGGCTTTTACAGACTACTCGAGTAACCTACACATCGATTCCTAGGAAATCTATCGAGTTTTTAAATTTCACTTTGAGTATTTGTGGTGACGTCATTACATCACCGTTATGTCATTGTGTCACGTGATCCACACCGGGCGCGTGTTACACAATGGATTCCTCCAAGCAGACGGATGGAGCGGAGCAGGCCCAGTCTTGACAAACAGGTAGAAATACATCAATAGCATGGAAATATTTCACTAAAGATGAATCTTCTGAGGGCAGCTGCTGCCTCTCAGCGCGCAGGTCCCTGGTTCAAATCCCGGTCCAGGGGCCTTTCTGGGTGGAGTTTGCATGTTCTCTCCGTGCATGCGTGGGTTTTCTCCCACAGACCAAAAACATGCATGTTAGACTGATTGGTAACTCTAAATGGTCCCTAGGGGCGAGTGAGAGAGTGAATGGTTGTTTGTCTCATTTGTCTCTATGTGTCCCTGTGATGGACTGGAGACCTGTCCTGGGTGTACCCCGCCGCTCGCACAGTGATTGCTGGACATGGGCACCGGCGACCCTCGTGACCCAAAATGGAATAAGTGGGTAAATGATAAATGAATGGATGGATATATATATATATATATGACTGATTAAGAAATATTTTCTTTGAGATGCTGTAGGCCATGCCCACTTTACATGAGCACAATTAACTTTTAGGTTTAAGATCAAGGGCAGGTCTTAAAAGTCTTTGTCCAAATTTTCCTAAAGACACAATTAGAGGGACAAATGTTTTCTGCTTACAGAGACCCCTAAAGGACCGTCTTCATCAAGTTTAGTCCACTAACTCAGAGTCGAGTCCATTAACTGTACTAAAAGTTTCATCTGAATAGGTATCTCAGCTTAGACGGTACGGCTAAATATGTATTTAGCTAGCTTGCAAAAAACAATTTGTCTAGGCACGTCTTGAACACTTTTATTTTATTTTTTTAAATTCTCTCTCTTTAATTTTACTCTCATTGATTGTTGTTGTTAAGCACTTTGATAACAGGTTCTGTTTTAAATGTGCTCTATAAATAAAGTTGACTTGACGTCATGGAAAACTTAGTCTCTGAGGTATCTAGACCGTAAGTTTTATTGCTATCAAATAGGCCTGTCATGATAAACAATAAATCAATTAATCGCATGATAAATTAAAATTATCAACCTCGTTTCATTTATCGGCTTTATCGTTTCTTCATGTCTCTCTTTCTACTGAGGACACTGGATGACAAAAAACTCAACTCCGGTGCTCTTCACTGACCCCTCCCTTTCTCTTTTTCTTTAAACTCCATTTTAACCGTCCTAAATTGCGTTTTTGGATCGTTAAAAGCAGCTAAGCTGAGAAGCTAAGATACGAGCTAAGCTAACAGACCGACCTCAGGAATAAACCTCTGTCTTGTCAAAGCTCCAAAATTCACAGTTGAAACCTGCGATTTTGTCTAAAAATTTGTTTTTCTCTGCAAAAAGAAGCTGAGACCTTGTTTACTAATTTATTTATTAAAAGCTTTGTGTGAAAAATCCTATGTTAAAGAGCTCAAACTAAACCGAGCGTCCGCCATTTTGAGAACCAAAAAAAAAAGGAAGGAGAGACAGCCCATGTCACGTCAAGGGGTCTCCCTCCCATTTTTCTTAAAGAGACACGCTGCTCGCTCCCTCACTATCCATCCTTCAGTTCAGTCTTATACTGCCATCATGGTCAAAAAAGGTACTACACTCAAAATAAAATTTACCAACATTTCTTCTTAAATTTGACAATAATTACTAATTATTGTCAAATTTCAAACAATATTATCGTTTATCGCAATAATTTCTGAGACAATTAATCGCCCAGCAAAATTTGTTATCGGGACAGATCTGTCGAACTTTATCAAACGATTAAAAAACATTTAAATGTAGATTTTCAAATTTTGTAACATAAAAAAAAAGTTTAGGCAGAAATGGGCGTGGTCTATACCAAGTCAGTCGTTAGAGTCTAGCATACATGGTGCTGTAAGCTGTTGTTTGTTGCAACTTACGGTTTAAAGTTAAGTAACCAAATACAAAGTGTACAGTGATAGCGCCCCCTGTAGGTAAACATGTCACAGAAAATCAAGTACTAGTTTTCTTTCTTTTACATCTGATGTACTCGTGTCCAAACAGTAACACCTGAGTGTACTCACTGGAGAGGCGTTTCTCCTGTGTGGGTCCGTCGGTGAACCTCCAGATGATTTTTACGTTTAAATGATTTCCCACACGTCTCACAGATGAAATCTCTAACTCCTGTAAAAAGACACGTTTATATTTTATGATCTCTTAAGAGCCCATCCTGGACATGTTCTGTGCATCCGAGCCCACCTGAGTGGATGATCATGTGGCGGTGCAGGTGGTTGGACAGGTAGAATTTCTTGCCACAGCCAGGGTGAGGGCACACTTTGGTCCTCCCTTTCCTGTGAACTAGATTCACGTGATTCTACAGACAACAAACAGATGTTTTAAATCACATTGTGGAACAAAAGGTTCGATTAAAAGCAAGCCTCAAAGTTGTGACGGTACCTGGAAGCTGCTGATTGCCACATAGACTTGACTGCAGCCTTCGTATGGACAGTGGAACATCTTGAGCATGCCGTCCGCCTCGACGACTGGGCCTCGTCTGCTCCTCCTGGACCTGACGCTGCATGAAGAGTTCAGATGGAAGCATCTTGACAGGAGCTGGATCACAATATCAGCTAGTAATGTATTTTTCGGACTATAAGTCGCTGTTTTTGCACAGTTTGGCCAGTCCTGTGACGTATGGTCCCAAGCGACTTTTTTCCTATTCATGACCATTTTTGACTGACGCTTTAAATGTTCATTCATACTGACATGAACCAGAGTAAACATTAACCTTTGCAGCAACGAGAGGGCCCTCTAGGCTTATGACGACTATATGTTGTTCCTCTTCTGCTACCCCCCACCCCCCCATTCTTCCTCCGGAGTTGGCAGAGTTGTTCAGAAGAAGCGACACCGATGATGGTAACTTGCTTGTCGGACTCGCTGGCCCTGTTCAGGATCCCACGTATGTTCTGTGTGCGCGCTCTGTGCGCAAACATAAAACTGTCGGGAGTGTAAGTCCAGGACAGACGAACTGAGAAAAGGGAGGGGGTACGCACACATGCAACCCAAGTCTCCTTTGACCGACGCACACGGAAAAGGAAAGGAAGGGGCGCGGGGGGTCTGTCTTCCCCGATTGCTACGTTGCAAGCATCAGTGCTTATGTTTACATGGACATAAGTAATCAGATTAAACGGCCATTCAGAATAAAAATGCATCATGCAAACGCCCCATTCGATTATTCTTTGTTGATTCAGCTCGATCCAAAATGATTTGTAATCAGAATGAGACGAGTGGTTTATGCTGATTCATAATCTGAAAGGTGCGCATGTAAACACTTAATCTGTTCATTTCTTTCCCCGATTGTGGAAAACTGACCTGACGGCGCATGTACGACCTATGTCTACCTCATGTATTTCTGTCTGGGTAATGTTAATAATATCAGCATGTTGGGGAAGCAGAACTGGTCGGTGAGTGACACAACATTTCTACTAGAAACTTTGAAAGAACTCAAAATGATCTGTGTTACCTGTAGCTCAGTCAGGGAGTGCAGTAACGTCTCCACGTCATTTTAGTCTAGTAGTTCTAGAATTGTGCCGCTCCAGGTGGCTGCATGTTGGAGCAGCTCTGTTACTTTCATTCTGAGATTTTGCTTTTGGAAACTTTAATTCCTGTTTTTCTGGATGTAAAGCACATTTTTTGGATGATTGTTTCCTCTGGTATTAGATGCTTTGCTGCTGGAAGGATTTTTACTGAAACTTTTTTTAGTTTTGGACATTTGTTATGATGCGTAACCATGGCAACAAGGCAGTTTTCTACAACAACAGCAGCTGATTAACATCTCAAAAGCTCAAATAATATCTCAGCTACAGCCCCAAATCTCAAATGAGTGGAAAAGGATGTTCTGTGGACGCATTCTCATCTACCTGCCAGCTGTACTCGAGTACCTGACCACTGAGATCCTGGAACTAGCAGGAAACATGGCTCATGACAGCGGAAGGACAGGATCATCCCTCGGCACCTACAGTTGGCTGTCCGCAGCGACTAGCTCGGCAGACTGCTGGGAGGAGTGGCCGTCGCTCTGGGAGGAGTTCTGCCTGGCATTCAGCCGGTCCTATGGCCCGGGGGAACCGAGAGGCCAGCCGAGTCTGGGTGGACGGATCGGATGGCTTCTGCAGACAGTTTCTTAGGATCCACTGTGGGATGGACCTTTACAAGAGATCCTTCCTGTCTACAGCCATCAGTATCTATAACATCTCTTAATGAAATGAGGATAATGAGTTACAGCAACAAATAATTTCCCTTTGGGATTAATAAAGTACTATTGAATTGAATTGAATTGAAACCTGTTGCGGGTCCATTTTGGGTGCTCAGATTTGTTTTTCATCTCGGAAATAAACTGAAAGTAGAACTTCTTCTTCTGTGTTTTTTTAAGGAGAGTTTACCACTCTGTGCATGTCAGTACTGCTGTTCTGAATAAAAGCTCGCTGCACGTAAACACTCGTCGTGAATGGACTGTGCCCATGTAAACGATACGCTTGAATTATTTAATCTGAAACATTTCAATCCGGTCAAAGAATTTTGCACATGTAAACATAGCTAGTGAGACACGAGGGAGAACAGGCAAGAGCAGCTTGTTTATTTAAAATAATAAAGCGCAACCTGAACCAAGCCTTTAGTCCTGTCCCTTGGTGACCACTGAGCGCCACAATGCCCCTGCGACCCCCACGGACAGTCAGCCCCTGTGTGTTATCCTTATTTCAGATTAAATGCCTGCTCTTGCACTTTATGAAATACACTTCTAAATAAATGCAACCAATATGTTTTTTTTTGCTCTTCATGGTGCATTTGTTGACTGATGCGACCCATACTCCGGAGCGACGTATAGTGCAGAAAATACGTTATCTGTTTGGCACATACCTGCTCAGACTCCTGTCCAGCTCTTGGTTACTGCTCTGCTCCACAGCGGGCTGATCCAGCTGAGTGTCACTCAGACCTGCAGAGAAACCGTGGGATCAGAAAATGTTTCATGAGCCCCCTTCACACCTTAAACCGAAACTGAGACGCCTTCTGGACGTCTCCAAGTTGTTTAAGAAAGGACTGAGGCAGCACAAAGGGACTGAAGTCGACCTGCTGCTGTCATGCCCATGTTACTGCTGAATGGTTTCTGCTGAAAGCTGCTGAAGGACCTGAAAAGGTTTCATCACTAAACTGTTGAGTATGAACAGCTATTTGATGAAAGCAGGAAAATAAAAGATGAAAGCAGCACAAAAATGGCAGAAAGGTATTAAAAAATAAAATAAAAAGGTGGAATAGAGCAGAAATTTCTGTCTGCACCTGACCTGTTCTGGACCTTAACTATTGGTATTTTTATATTCTTTGTTATTTTTTATATTTTTTAGATCTTGTGTGATTCCTTGTGTATGTTCCTTTGTACTTTGTTGTGATTTGGTGCTAAGTAAATAAACTGAATTGAAAAGAATTGAATTACTGAAACTCTGGCACAACAATTTCCTGCGGGATCAATGAAGTTGAATTTATCTTATCTTAAATGCGCAGAATATGTTGAAATAGGCACAGAGAGGCTGAATACGTTACAAAAGATCTGAAATTAGCAAAATAAGTTGCTCAAAATGCAAAAAACAAAAAAGAAGCTAGAATTAGCAGAAAGAAGCTAAAACAATAACAAGAAAGCTCAAGTTAGCAGAAAGAAGCTGAAAGTAGAAAAATATCTGAAAAAAACTGACGTGAGCAGAACGAAGCCGTAAGGAGCTGGAGGAAGCTTAAATTAGCATAATGAAGCTGAAAAACGCTGAACCAGCACAAAAGCAGAAATGAGCAGTAAAAGGTTTAAAACCAGCACCGAGGGTTTGAAGGATAAGATGTGAAGAGCGCTCCATTTATTTTCAATGAAATTTAAAAAAACACGGTCAAAACTATTTCTAAAAGTAAAAAATGCATAAATATTAAAAGTCATAGCAGGAATGTCCTGAATATCATGAACATTTCGATGCATCAATTGTTGAAATAGCACAAAAACTGCGGAACGAGTTTCATGCTGAAAAACGTACAGAAGAAAAATGGATGTCAAAAGTGTGAATGATTTCAAAACATTCCCACAGTTAGTGCCTAAATGAAACCCTGTCGTTGAGTCGGGGTCAGGACTGTTTTCAGTTTCAGGAGTTTATTTCAGATTCTGCAAATTTAACATCAAAACGTGTTTTCATGTATTTCTGGTCTACAAGCAGCTACTGTTTTCACAGGCATGGAACCCTGTGGCTCATTCAATGCTGCAGCTAATTTATGTTTTTAACAGGATAACGAGCTTCAAGTTGCCAAAAACATTTAGCTTCGTCACACCCGTGCGCTCACATACAGGTCCTTCTCAAAAAATTAGCATATTGTGATAAAGGTCATTATTTTCCATAATGTAATGATAAAAATGAAACTTTCATATATTTCAGATTCATTGCACACCAACTGAAATATTTCAGGTCTTTAATTGTTTTAATACTGATGATTATGGCATACAGCTCATGAAAACCCAAAATGCCTGTCCCAAGAAATTAGCATATCATGAAAAGGTTCTCTAAACAAGCTATTAACCTAATAACCATCTGAATCAACGACGTAACTCTAAACACCTGCAAAAGATTCCTGAGGCTTTTAAAAACTCCCAGCCTTGTTCATTACTCAAAACCACAATCATGGGTAAGACTGCCGACCTGACTGCTGTCCAGAAGGCCATCATTGACACCCTCAAGCAAGAAGGTAAGACAGAAAGAAATTGTTGAACCAATAGGCTGTTCCCAGAGTGCTGTATCAAGGCACCTCAGTGGGAAGTCTGTGGGAAGGAAAAGTGTGGCAGAAAACGCTGCACAACGAGAAGAGGTGACCGGACCCTGAGGAGGATTGTGGAGAAGGGCCAATTCCAGACCTTGGAGGACCTGCGGAAGCAGTGGACTGAGTCTGGAGTAGAAACATCCAGAGCCACCGTGCACAGGCGTGTGCAGGAAATGGGCTACAGGTGCCACATTCCCCAGGTCAAGCCACTTTTGAACCAGAAACAGCGGCAGAAGCGCCTGACCTGGGCTACAGAGAAGCAGCACTGGACTGTTGCTCAGTGGTCCAAAGTACTTTTTTCAGATGAAAGCAAATTTTGCATGTCATTCGGAAATCAAGGTGCCAGAGTCTGGAGGAAGACTGGGGAGAAGGAAATGCCAAAATGCCAGAAGTCCAGTGTGAAGCACCCACAGTCAGTGATGGTCTGGGGTGCCATGTCAGCTGCTGGTGTTGGTCCACTGTGTTTTATCAAGCGCAGGGTCAATGCAGCTAGCTATCAGGAGATTTTGGAGCACTTCATGCTTCCATCTGCTGAAAAGCTTTATGGAGATGAAGATTTCATTTTTCAGCACGACCTGGCACCTGCTCACAGTGCCAAAACCACTGGTAAATGGTTTACTGACCATGGTATTACTGTGCTCAATTGGCCTGCCAACTCTCCTGACCTGAACCCCATAGAGAACCTGTGGGATATTGTGAAGAGAAAGTTGAGAGACACAAGACCCAACACTCTGGATGAGCTTAAGGCCGCTATCGAAGCATCCTGGGCCTCCATAACACCTCAGCAGTGCCACAGGCTGATTGCCTCCATGCCACGCCGCATTGAAGCAGTCATTCATGCAAAAGGATTCCCGACCAAGTATTGAGTGCATAACTGAACATGATTATTTGAAGGTTGGCGTTTTTTGTATTAAAAACACTTGTCTTTCATTGGTGGGATGAAATATGCTAATTTTTTGAGACAGGCATTTTGGGTTTTCATGAGCTGTATGCCATAATCATCAGTATTAAAACAATTAAAGACCTGAAATATTTCAGTTGGTGTGCAATGAATCTGAAATATATGAAAGTTTCATTTTTATCATTA